CATGTTAAGAGATCAAATGATGTTGTGTAAATCAAGTTTTTTAATCGAATTTTTTTGTGCTGCTGACACCACCAGGTACGCAACATCATGTATTCATACAGCTATTCACATATATAGTATTGAAATCAGTCACAGAAAATCAGGATAAATAATTTAATATTCATCAAATAATTTCAATCTAGTGACCAACCATTGCCCTCTTATCATTTTTTCTGAATTCAAAAAAACTTTTGCCATGTATGTAGTCACAGCACTTTTACAGTATACCTAAGTATGATAACATATCGTGTGAGCAGAAATTTTTTTCTGTATACCGTTCAGTAACTGAGAATTCTTTTGAATTAGAAAAGCTATTTCAGCTGAGGATAAAAAATTTGAAGTTTTAAATTATATTCTAAAGATTAAAAATGCCTAAACGATGGGATTATTAATATCGAAACTCGAGAAGCTTCAGCAGACACAGAAGGGCGCGCTAGATTTTCTTTTGTAAAAAAAAGATTTATTGAGAAATGAAAATTTTTTATACCTCAGACATTAACTTGTCACTCACAGTGAATATGAAAGCTGGTTCTCAAAAGACACTCCAATTTATTTTTTCTTAATTTCTTCGAAATTTCTATCATTCCTATTGTGTCAAATTTTAGATTTTAAGGAACTTGCAGCTTAATTGACCTCACCATTAATCCAAATTGAAAGTGAAATTTTTCAAAAAAAATGGAATCTTCTTGTGTGTCATTAAAGGGTCATGTTCACAGTCATACACATCATTTGTGATTGAAAAAAATTTTTTGGGAAAATATGACAATTTTTTCCGTCAGTTGAAACGCAACTTTAGCGACCTTATAAAAAGACCCTTGAATCGATACTCAGGGCCTCAAATTCCAAAGAAAACTAAATTTTATTTTTCGACTACCAATCCCGCTTTTTGAGACTTCCGCTGCTTACGTCCGGAGAGATAAACAACTTGAGCTTTCTGGCTTCGTCGAATACCAAATCGATTCGTTACCGGCTTTCTTCTGGAGGTTATGGAATGTCGCCGAGCTCGTAAAGTGGGGCAATTTCCAAGTAGTCATTTCTAACGACTCCAGAGCAGGGAGATTAATGCTAGGAAGACCAGAAAGACCACTGATCATTCACTTAGACCATCAAATTAAGCTTTGATCATTAGGACTCGCATTCAGCTGCGCATCCGCTCAACAAGTCACAGGATATTCTGCAGCACAAGCAAAAATTGCAGCGGATCCGTAGGATTTTGGTTTCTACAACAAAAGTGGAAATGTTAGAATGGAAAATTCCGCATGATCTTCACATTAGACTGGTTAAAAACGGGAACTGCTGCAGGATTTTCTTACAAAAAGCTGCGAAAACCGAAAAATGCCAGCGGTTCCGCAGCACTTTGACCTGCCAGTACTTCCGCAGTTTTTTGGATGTTGTCCATTCTCTTACGATGTTGTCTCGCCAACAACTAGAGTGCATTGTCGAACATGTCATCCGTAGTTTAGAGAATATGATATAGTGAGTTTCGCAGTCATGGGAACTTCCGCAGCACGTCTACGGCAGTTCCGCAGATGACCCAACGGAATCCCAAATGTTCTGCGGAAGTTCCTGTCAGTTACCTGCGCATTTGAATTGCCAGACATTTTTGATGTTTATTCCCTAGTAATGCGATATGCGCTTCGGCTTCTCGGCTGGCTGTCGAATGCATTAGAAGACATCTATCAATGTCATTCACCGGCCGCACACTCATCCATGCGTGTTCAGGCTCTTTATGCTTCTGCGATTCTCAACTAGGACAGTCTTTGCTCTTCGCCTAGGGCTCTTCTAATCCACTCATGGCGAGCACAGGCTTCCGAACTGCATTTCGAACGCGGAGCTAATGGGTTTTTACTCGCTAAGCTATGCAAAAAGGGCTTCCTTGTACAAAATCTTAAAGGTCGGGGAATTTGCTTAATCTATCGAGCTCAAAAATCATATATACTAGAAAAAAAGACAAAGAAAAAGTTCCAAGCTGTATGGGTTCAAAAAAGATCTCGAACTTGGCTTGAGCTTTCATGAAAGATTATACGATCGTTATTGCTTTCACTGAAAAAACTTTCCAATGCAAATAGCTCATGGCTCACTGGAAATTGGTTCTATAAAAAAAACCAAATAACCTTATCAAGTAAAGAAAAGCTCAAAATAGTTTTGAAATGATATTGTTTCGGAATACTTATGATTGCAAGTTTGGAAAACTTGGGAAAAAGCGAGACTCTATCATATGATAAGGAACCAAAATGAATGGAGGGCTGCTTTCAGATCAGTTATCGCTTTCTTTTAGTTTTCGTTATCCACCAAGGACCAGAGGAAGACTCTGAGACTGAACTGGGTGTAAACATTGGATGTAGAGCATTTTATACTAGACTGAAAAATCAGGTAAAAGGATAGGATGGTATGAGTCAAATTTTAGAAAAAATAGCACGTCACGAATTTCTCTGGGCAAAAAATTATGAAAGGTTTTTTCGCCATGAAATTGAACATGTAACCAGAGCCAAATCCTTCCAGAAATTTCTAAACCAGCTTCAATATTTATGTCCAAGGCAGACTAATGTGGCTTCAGCAGCCATATTGCTTAATGGAATTGACTTACAAATGACTAATATAATCTGTACAAGTTGTCATTCTTGCGATTGATTGTATGAACTTTGAATAGACTCAAAAAGATTATGAAATTCTTTTTTTCGCTAACCATTAAGTTGCACCAGTTGAAGTGGGGATCTGTCCAATGAATTTAGCACCCGAATAAATAATTTAAATGGATTAAGAAAAAATAAAAATTGTTGTGAAACTTGTGGGGCTTCAAGAATGATCTTGGAAAATATTTCAAGCATTTTTTGGCAAAGAGAACTCTCGAATTTCTTTTCAGTACATGACGTTATGTGCTTTAGGATTATACGAAAAGATTTCAATTCACGCAAAATGAAACTTCTTCTCCCTTTAATATATCCCCCTGCCTCAAGTCATTCCCATTGATGTAATGCTATAAGCTTAAATAAATGCCATGTACGATCATCCCTTCAAGGCAGTATCACCAAGGCAACACCACCACGAATCATCTTCTTTGTGTGTTTTCGAATTTTCTGCGGGTATTAAGCGAAATTTTCCGCTAAGGTAAAAATCCAATATCCCCTTCTCATTATTTTGTTTTGGCACAAGGTGTGGGGGTGTGAGACAGTCGGATTCTAAACTGTCTACAGAGAAGCAAAGACCATTTAGTTCTTTTAGTTAGGTAAGTGGAACGTGTTAACGAATTTAGATTTTTAAGATTCTTTAGATCTAAAAATTCATAAATCTATGTCAGGCGCAGTTTGATTATAACTTTTTTCTTCATTCTTTTTCTTTTTATGCATATTGATATTGATTTTATTAGACTAAATCAAAAATAAAGTATATGATCGAAGTAATCTTTGGTCCACAGTTTCGCTCTTATACTATATTATGAAAAAACGTTTACGTTTCATTAAAAATGAAACGTAAACGCTCATCTAATCTTTTTGCATACAAATTCTTCCTATTTGATATGTATAGGTATCCTCTTGCAATAAAAAAATTCAAACCACTGTAGAACAAGCAAGGAATTTAAGAACCCGTACAAAATCATATATCTACTAATTTCATCGCTTGACCATTACTAATCCAATTTCAAAGTGTCAAAAAGTAAAGTGAGCAGAGCAGTTAATCAATTAAGAATTCCCATAGAAGGGAATTTTGTTGATTTGTTATCAACTGTTAGTAATGTCAGTAAATAAATCATAAATAAGGGAAATGAAGAGTTCAGAAATTATTTGACTAGATTTGACTCAGCAAAATTAATTAGCATTCAAAGAATTTTATGAATGATACAAACATGAACATTAGCAAAGATTATTCCTATGAATAGGATAAATGCAGCAATTATTCACTTTTTGGAATTTTTATTTTAAGGCTGTTCTTCCAATAATCAATTGATTCTGCCCTAGAAAATGGTCAAAATTAATAATTTACCAAATAGTTTTAAAAAAGGACTTCAAATATAAATTTCTAATAAACTCTCACTCAAACAAATATCTTAAAAGTGACTTTTCAGCTTTAATCGAATTGGTGATTGTTATATTTTTAGGTATTTTAGGGATTTGTTTTCGAGTTTCTTCTTAACCTCTAATTCGAGATTTTGTAGCAGGGTTTCTGAAAGGTTTATATCAAGAATGAAGGAGACATTTCTTTGTGTAAGTACAAAATGTTTTCCGCCTTCACACACCTTCAAATCATTATAAGAGTCTAACAGGCTATAAAGGTGAAAATAGTAAACGTACTTTTGAAACCATCAAATCAGTCTGTTTTACGATAATAGAAACATAGGACGCAATCAAACGCATTTTTTTTAGAAGAGGTTTTATTTGACAGCGAAATGTCGCTATAAGTGTCGCTTTTCTTGAATGCTTTTCATATATTTTACATTTTATCTTTGGCACAAATGTTAAAGAAACGCGGCAGCTGTCATTAGGCAAACTTACAGTAACCCTACAATAATTAACATACAACAGAAGTTATCATCATTATCGTTGTTATCATATGCTTACTGCGAATGATGACATTTTAACCTATTTTTGAGCACCATGGGTTACATTACCCAATATATAAAGAATCGTTAGCTCAATTCAAAAATCTTCCAATAGCGAGAAACCCTGACGTCTCCCGAAGCGAACGCTCTTCCAAATAGCACCTTTAGATTACTGTTTCACTAGTTTAACGTAAGAATAACACCACTGCTATTACTGAGCACAACTACAGTATTCCTACAGTAGTCAGTATGCGGTAAGGAAGTATAGTGAATAGTGACTGTACCTCGAAGCATTCTACCCATTTTTTAGCGTCATTGGGCATGTTAATGGATGTAAAAAACAGATTGATATGACTGAGCATAACTACAGTAATCCCACAGTAATTATATAGTAGCGACAAATCACTGATAATGCAACACTTACCGTAGCCGGTGCGGTGGAGACTAGGGCTGCGGTGGACAGAAGTGCGACGGCAAGCAGAGCTTGTGATAGTGGCGGCATAGCGGAGCAGCGAGCACGATCGAGTCTGAGCTGGCAGCCCTGAGGGGCGGCCGCGAGCCGACGCGACGCGATATCGTGCCGCGACGCCGCGTCGCCGCGCCGGCCACGCCTCCGAGAAACCACTGTCAAAGTGCAGAAATGCAGATTTGGATGCTGGTCGAAGCGAATCTGGAGGAAACACGAACAACTCGGACGGATGTTGAATGACTGCTGGGATTTGGCTAAATGCTCGCTAAAGATGTATATTCATATCGCGGAACGAGGTGATTATCACAGCCTCACGGGAATAGTTACATGGGCTAAAAACGGCAAACTCGCCCGAATGTCCGAAAAAAGGAAGCGTTAGAAGTTTTTTGGTCATTTGAACAGCTGGCTGTGCATCATTATTATTATGTTGACTTTGACTAAAAATAAAATTGTTCATCAAGAAGTTTGGTGTTATCAAAAGGTCTTCTCTTCCTGATTCAGTCGGCTTGTAAATTTTTCTCAAAAAAATTGTAATTGTAAATGATTGTAGGACGTCCGGTTTGAGAGGAGAATAGTTCTCTATGGCAAAAATAGACAAACTCGAATTTGTCTCACTAATTTGCCAAATAATCTGTACGACCATATTTCTCATCGAAAGCATGCTCTGAGCGTATAAGCCAGCTGCTGACTTTAAATTTCGTCTTCAGTAGAATCTAAAGAAATTGACAGTTTTTCAAAATGACGACGTAAATGTGCCGCTTAAAATAATAAATCATTTCAAATGGTTGTCACGGAGTTTATACACCGTAAAGAGGAGATCACAAGCTACATGCACAGTCTATGTTAGTTTACGATACCGTGCACATGTCTACAATTTTCATCAATAAATTTCAAAAAAACTTTGTGAAGTAAATTCGTGCTATATGTATTCCTAATTTGAAGCGAAAATTTGTGAAAGAATGCAGCATGAACTTTGCTTAAACTATTATGCAAATTCGTTTAAGTCAGCTTCCAGTCGCTTGGATTCAGAAAGGGATTCAAACCTAACCTAAGTACCCGGCCTTCACACATTAGTTATGAGGAAAAGTCCCAATCAATCAGTGCTCAAACTGTAATACATTTGAATCCTTCGTGGCCAAAAAATCAGCTTTGAATCCTTGCCCAACCGCACTTTTCTCGACCAGCTTTTGAGCACAGTAGTGAGTAGCTTTTGGGAGAGAATCTTGTTTTGTGTTTTCGGCCACGAAGTAACTTTGATTTAACTGGCTTGGCAGCTGGGAGGTGGGGTTTGTGACTTAAATGGGGCCGCTCGCTCCCGCTACACAGTCTGCGTCCCCGCGCGCGTGCTCTTCAATCATTACTTAGCCTTAATTAGATCAGGAAGCCCCGTCTTTCAGCCGCCAAGCCAGTTGAATCAAAGGGTATATGAGCTACCATTTGGGCGAAGATCTGGTTAAGACTACATGAGTAAATTTCCACAAAAATTCAGGCCATACCAAAAGGATTGTTTGGACATTGTAAACGATAATCAATGCCTTTTACAAGCTCATATTTTATCATATTTACTCCCAATCAAGTCAGTAAAAGTACAGGTAATCAAATTAGTGCTATATTTACAAGCTATAAAAGCAGCGTTCCATTAATGGCAATGAAGGCGGCCCAGCCATAATTCTAATCTCGGTACATGTACTAGGTGTTCGGTTTCTAGAGCACGATCTTTGCGTTCTAAAAGTCGATTGTTTTTTAGGGTTTGAGTAATGATTAAAAATGCTTCTCACCAAATATCAATACGTCACCATCGATTCAAACCTAATTTTACTTATCTGTTAATGCGTTATTTATATCTGCTGAAAAACCAATGGCTGATGCATGAACTACGCATGTCTATGGAATTTATTATGCCATTTATGTTATTACGCATATCCAAAAAAAGCTTCGCTTGAATGCGGATTACAGCAATAAGATTTACTATATTCGCCTAACAACTAATTTATGACGATTTTTTCAAGCCAATTTTAACAGAGCTACACAATCTAAATAAATCAAATAGTTACTCTCAAAAGTAAATTCCACTTCCAAATAAATTGAGCTGTTTTTGTTTTTCTAAATGACTTAGGGTATCATTCGATGGCGCGGAACAAGCTCTACAAAAAGGCCACCAAAGATCCGCCTGAGTCGTAATCCAGCTAAAATTTGGAGCCAAACATCAAAATTTTTTAACCACCCCAAAAATCGGATCTCCTTCCAGAGAATTCTTACGGATTTTCAACTTGGTCTTCACAAAGTAAACACATAGCGGTATTCAAAAACATATTTGATGTGTTTTTTGTCGAGCTAAAAACTGAGAAACAAAGCTGGGCCAAATTGCCAAATGCCATTTTTTCGTGTCCCTCATGTAAGAGTTAGTCTCGATTATAAATGCACATATAGGGTTAAAGTTTTGAGATTATATGTGATAAGGCTTGTAGTATACAATGAAATATGTGGGCTGCCATTAATGGACTATCTTTTTTCTCGCTTTCTATGCGCGGAAAAAATCAAGTAAAGGCATACATATTTGAGTACTACTGTGTGCCTAGTGTATAATGACCCAATTGGAGGTCCGTGGGATTTTTTCTCACAGAAACCCAACTTTCAAGCAGCAAGATTTATTTTGATTTCGGCTTCAAACTTTGAATGAAATGCGAACTAAATGGACTCTTGGTGGACAATTTGTAGAGCTGATTTATCGAATGATAGCCTAAGTCTACTAGGAAAACAATGACACAATGACATAATGCAGTACGGAACACATGTGAGAGTAATAAGGGAACAATGTTGTGGTTCCTTTGCCCATTCTTTGAAACTAAGGATAGCAATTTGGTTCCGTATCACTCCTTCTCCTCCCCCCCCCCCTCACAACTTGCTCGTAATACCTAGAGCTTAATTTGATTTTGGTATTTTTGACAAGGTGCAATGGAAACTGAATACATTTTTGATTCTGGTTTCGTAGTCTGTTCTTTCTAAATGAGGAGTATTTGTACATAATTTTTGTACATAATTTTCTCATCAAAAACTAATGACTTCTGTACAACTATTTCTTGTCCTTTCAATTCAACCCTAGAATTTGCAACGTATAGAAATACACAGAGCACATAATACGGAGCAAAAATTTTATACTTTATATCATCAACTCGTTGAACCTTTACAAAATGCTTTCTAGTCGCTTTGGTGCATGATTTATGAATCATCATGACAGATTCAGTGATGTCATTCTGTAAAAAAAAACTTACTTTGCTCGTCGAGCAATTTCTAAGAATAGTTCTGCGAAAGACTGAGGCTCAGCACATCATAACAAGCTACTTATATGTAGCAAAATGTAGTTTGAGGATATAAGCGGCGAATAAATGCAACACAATCCGCTTCATCTCCATTAATGATTGTGTTCCATCATGTTCTGTTCCTCTTAATGGACATAAGAAATTAAGTCGCTTAGCATAGCGAGCACTGCAGCTTAATCCTCTTTTATAGGTCGCAACGATGATATACTTCAGTAAAGAATTTAGGAAAAGCATCAGATATTCTTAGATATGGCACCCAAAAAACCCCACCTCTGTACTTTGCAAAAAGAAAGGCAGTAATCTTTAGCTACTCCTTGATTCAACAGGATTGGCGGCTGCAAGGCAACCGCTCGCGCCCGCTACGCAGTCTGCGTCTCTCTCGCGAGCGTGCTCTCTGATAATGCCCTAGACTTGATAGGCCTCGAATGTCGCCTTCCAGCCTCAATTTCGTTGAATCAAAGGGTACTTATAGTAAGTGAGAAGATAGCTCTCAATGAGTTCGACCACAATTTCCTCTACTTCTTGTATAATTGGCAGTTGCGCTTCTCCCTTTTTATGAAGTACTTGTTCTCAACAGGACGATTTTAAAGTCTTTTTGGAAGTGGATAAGGGGGGGGGGATGGAAGAAGGAACAAAGCGGTGACACATGAATTGCACCAAAAAATGGGAGTGGCCTGTGCCATTCCCGCAGATAAATTTTCAAGAAGCCAAATTCTTATCAAGGTTTTGGCCTTGATACTGGAAGGTGATCTGTCTTAGCAAATGAATGTGAGGAGTGCCATCATGACCGGCCTTTGGCACATTTTCTGGACTACGTAAAATTTGTTCTGCAAATATGAAATTTGAAGAAAACTTTTGCTGCTTCAGCCCTGTGCAATTACTGTAATCTCACCCGTACAAGGCGCACATTTTCAGAATTTTTAAGGGAGCCGCTTCACTTCGCTTCCTTCTGCCGCATTATTCGCTTAGGTAATAAGGCGCTGCATAGGGTCCTTTAATCGTGAAGTTCTTTGGCGTTTTTTGGACCAGTCGAGTTTGAAAAAAATCCCTCACGCTTTGTAACCGTGAAATTATGGTATTTTATGCGTTTGGACTTTGTATTGGGAACTGATTAGGATGCTGTATAAATATAACAACTGGGCATGTAGAAGCTCATATGATTCATTCGTGACCGAGCAATTCAATTCTAAACTCACGCCCAAACAATGCTCTTCACTCATGGACCATCTTTGAATACGGTAGAGAATACGGTCTGGGTCAGAGCTTGTATTAGATTTTTCCAGCCTCAAGTACAGGATGCTCCAAGATAAACGTCCCTACTGTTTTAACTGCAAAATCTCTTTTGCTCCTGATGTATTCCACCAACTTTTGGTTCCATTTTATAGAAGTAGGAACCGCTGTAAAACTGCGTTCTTGCAAATCAGTCGCGATTCCGAAAAATTTCAAAACACTTGATCCTTGCGGTGGTTTTTTTGGGGGCGCTGATTGCAAAGCAATTTAGACTTTTGTCAAACTTTTGGAAGGCTTTGAGACGCTTTTCTACATCGACCTGGGGTGATCCAAAAAAGTCTAAGTTTATTTTTGATATCAGCGATTCTAATCTGCTAAATCTAATAATGCTAAACGACAAAATTTTCAGCTTTTCTGAAGTCTTTTTTGAGGCGAGATCTGATCTCAGTGCTGCAAAACTCAAATTACAGTCCCTACCGTAATCTTACAGTAATAAAGGGGATC